CGACGAAACCAAGCTTTAGCAACGGGCGTAGTCGAACGGTACACACTCGGTAAGCAATCCTACAATTTTTTGTTTATAACGTAGTTTATACGGATTATTTTCAAAAAAATATACGTATTTTGGAAATGTTGAGTCGAATTAGTCTAGAATCGATTAATTTTATGAAAGAAAACCTTTCAAACAGCCGTAGTCTGTAAACTATGATTCCTACAAAATTGATTCATAAAGAACGGAACGTATCTACTGTCTTATAGGGGGACCTACTGTATAATCGACAAACCTAAACATACACATTTTATTTTAGGATCAAATGCATTAAAATAATCAATAGAAGGTTATTCACTTCGTAACTTTATAGAAATAAATATCTAGAAAATTCTCAATATAACAGATATAATTTTTATTTACACATTTTATTTTTACTTTCTCCAGTTTGCAATATATTTAATGAAAGTATTATTTTCAAGAAAAATTGATATAAGAGAATAAAATACTTCTAAACTTTCCAGAATGGTTAAAAAAAACAAAAGCATGCTTATGTATAGGCTAAATGGAGAATTTTCAGGTTTGTTTTGGAATGATTGATTCTGGATTTACCTGATTACTTTCCATTCTTAAGCCTGATGTTTATTAATTAATGAATGTACAGTACCATGCTCATAATGTAGATTGTTAATTTTTTTAAATTAAAATAAACTTGAGAAAGTATTCAAAAGAATCGGAATCGGGAGAAATTTTGGTATTGTCTCATCGTTAATTAAAACTGTTCATTGGTGCATTGATTGTGCCTAAGATTGATGCATACTGAAATGTAGCATTTATCTTTATATACTTATAAAATAATAATAATTTACTTTTACATAACACTATAAAAAAAATTCACAAGAAATATAAATAAATTTAACATTACCTGACACATCACAGAAATTCCAGAATTATTTTGTGAATGAAACACTTTAATCAATGCTTCCCCGTCGTCTTCATTTGTTCCCAACACAAATACATTTTTTTTCTGAAGTCCATCTCTACATCTAAATCTTCCTCGCATAAGTGAAACTGTATCCCACTCTTTATATTTCATTTTTACAACGGATTTACCCAAAACATTGTCTTCGTATGAAAGTTTGTATGAAAGTATGTCTAAGTTTGAACAAAAACTTAAAACTTTTCCACCTGAATGAACAAAGGCACTAAAACACTTATTCACCTTTTCATTTAATTCATCACAGGATACTATTAACAGTTCTGTATTATCTCTCCAAACAATTTGATTCACCTGTAATTAAAAAGAAAATTTAAAACTTTTTAGTTGGATATTTAACAAATTTTTAAAAAAATACGTAAAATTTTATAATTATTTTAGACCTTTAATCAATGTTAAACTTCTATATTCTATAAGAAGCATTCAGCTTACAGAATGCACCCAATTTTCAGTTGCATCTAATGCAGAAACTAAATCTGTTTGGAGGAAAAATAATACAGCTTAAGATCTATCTTAAACTGTAATATTTTCTCTTAAAAAAAAATCACAAAGAATGTGACACATCCAATATAAATGCATCTTTAAGGTGAAAAATCCAGTAATTTTTGATTTGGTTTAATCGTTCAATCTGTTTTAAGGGATATTAGGCTAGTGGTCTTAAAAGTGCTTAAAGCATCCCTACTTATGAAGTCTATATTATATACAAACTATTTTTTAATATGAACAACAAATCATTACACATCCTTCAACATAGTCACCAAAAATATTCCAACATTTTTCATTACATGCAATGACCTTTACTCTAACAGCATAAAATTCATGTCCCTAGTAATTTAATCACTCGGTGACTGCATAATTCACTTCATTTGATGTGAAACAATATACATTTAACTGATATAAGTTTGTCAGTTTTGCTCTTTAATGATGATGTCTGCTGAAGAGCAGAAAATAATACAGCAAATTCGTTAAGAGATTCTCAATCATCTCTCATATAATTCATATATGGTCCAAATTGAAATATCTGGTCCTCTTCAAATTGAAAGACCACTTGAATAGGTATCACTGACATCAAATAAAAAGTTAAAACATACAATCATTTCATTGTTTTCCCCAGAAATGTTAATTAACTGAGTGGAATGAACTAGCAGTCAGGTGGACTAAACAAAATATTGCACAGTCTTATAAAATATTGTTATTTGCAAATACAACCCATTTCTCTAAAAATAAAGTTAGAATCTGATGCCTTCTAACTTTCTGATAATTCTTCCACCCATCTATTCTGTTCTATTCACAGTATTTCTGCCTTGATGTTTCTCTCCTCTATCATTTTTTCATTTAACTTCCCAGCTCTTTCTTTCTCATTTTTTGTGGTTTGTGTTCCTGGTTATCCTTTCTGAGATTTTGGCATTCCATCAGATTCCATGCATGATTATATTGAAATGCATTTGAAATAATGCAAATGATAATTAATTAACCACATAAGCAAAGTTTCTGTGGTTAATTAATGAACTATTGTTGATTTGATGTTTTAACTCATCACACTTAGTTTCTTCTTAAAATAAACCAGAAAACTATACTTTTTAGTTAACTTTAACTGTTCACTGACAGATGATGTAATTTTGTGTCTTGTGACCTTCATTACAATGTGCTGGTGCAGTTTTGTATCATCTGTGTGCTGAATTTTTTTGGTAAATGAAGTGCACATTTTTTTTTGGATGCTATTTATTATTGTCTGGAAGTGTAAAAAAACATTTTTGAAAGTATATTTTAATGTTTACTTTCTTAGTTTTCCAGGAAATAAGTAATGAAAAATCAAGTAATGAGTTGCTTAACTTTCCTAGCAACATTTGGTGGCATCATCTGTTATGATATTTTATTAAGAAATTTCTTATATCTTTAACTCTTATAAAATAGCAGAAAGCTTAATTTTGAGGGTGAGGATAAGTTTTATGAAAAATTGTAAATACTAATAACAAATAAAATTGTCATTAAGTCTGACTCTACTGGAGATATGACATATGATCCCCTTTATCTCCTCATCCCCTTGACTTTTAAGTGCATTAAACTTCAAACAATGTTTAATACTTTAATTAATTAATTGGTATTTTTATTAACAATGATTCACAGAAATGCAAGTTTCTACCAACTGCGAAGAAACAAACAATCATGATTGAGGGAGTTTATTTTACTCTTTTTTTGTCCTGTGGGCATGTAGGTGAGTAGCCAAGACTAACAACATAAGAGTGACTTATGAATACAATCCCTTGATATTCAGTATCCTTAAAAATTGATAAACACAAGAAAAATTGTCCTAACACCCCAGCAGTATATACCATTCCACTGGAGAACCAGCGTTTCAGCAGAGGACTTCTCTATGTAGAAGCTACTGCAAATAACTTGGAATAAAGGATCAAAGAACATCAATACATGGTAAAGAAAACTATGAACACCACAATCCTAGTGGTCTGTGCCAAACAATAAGGAATACGGGTTTTATGAGATGATGCCAAAATAATTTGACCAGCAATGAGCAATAACAACCTATGATACTTGGAAATGCTAAAGATTTATAAGGTCCATCAGAAAAACACATGCTTCAGTCACATAGTTGTGGACACTTTATTGGCAGCATTGAGATCTATTTACGAGGTTTGACGTAACATTATTCTATTGCTCTACATTAACAATTGCAATATGACACACACACATATATAGGGTTCTTATTCAAATTTTTGTTTTAATTTCCATAACTTTCCCAATCAACTTTGTACAAATTTCTGACCCTTACAGTATGGCATATTGACAAAATAAAACAGTATTTGGCTTCCTACGCAAATGTTTTGCTTCTCCAATGTTTTAATTAGTTATTTTTTCTAATTAACAGTTATATATTTTTTATAATTGTCAAATTATTAAAATTAAAAATAAAATGTTTTATTAAAATTCTGTTATTAATCCACAAACATAAATCTATATAGCTTTGAAAAAAGACAATTATTTTTTATTATTCATTAACAGATTCTATATAATTCATGTACAAAAGTATATATTTATTAAATTTCTCTCTTAATAAATTTCCTGAACACTATAAAATATTAATAAACTGGAAAAAAATCAGAAATTGTTTTGTTATGCAATGAAAATTATTAAAAGAAAAATGATAAATAATACCATTTAAATTATTTATCATTTTGTGTACTTTCTAAATTTTTGGGAAAATTGTGTGTAAACTTGAGAGAAATTTTGGATCCTGAAAATATTCTGCATCCCTTTTTGTAAGTTGTATTGCACCACATTACTTCTTGCTGTCTGCCGACGGCTACACTTAGTCAAGCATATTGTCAGCAAAAAATCAAACAAGACAGCCAAAGAAGCAAATTCCCTTATTTTTTGAGTATTTTTAACAAATTCCCCAACATTCCATGACTTTTTCTGAACATTAATGAAAATCCTTGGACTTTCCCCGATTTTCCAGATATATAGGAATCCTGTATATATTTAGTTACACGTTATCTTTTCTTATTATTAAATGTATAAAATAAAATCTAATTTATTTAAAAAATATTCAAAAATTTGTCAATTGTTCATACATTTTAATAATTTATAATAAATAAAATTTTTACCTGTGTTGGTGTAAGAGAGTATATCGTGTAACAGTTAGGTTTCAAACATAACTGTAGATTGTCTTTTATACTTCTGAATAATGAGGATGGACCAGATTCTTCTTCTCCTGTGTATATAAATATATTTGGCGGCTTGGAAGATGCATCAATTTTAGGAATATTATTTGTTATAAAAATCATTTCATCTAAATCAGGAATGGGCGAAAAAGAACCTTCTGCCATTGCTTCTCCAGCTAGAAAAGTTTAAAATATAAACTAAAATCACATCGATTATAAAAATAAAAAATATCTACAAATTTTAATAGAAATTTTTAAAAAATTATTTAAAAAACAGTACGAAATGTTATACTGAATTGTTAATGTTGGAAGTTATTTTAATCTATAATTTACAAAACATTCTTACCACAATACTCTTCGGCTTCTTCGAATTCATCTATTGAATTATCTAAATTACAATAAATACTATCAACTAACTTCCTAGGACTACTAGACTGACTCGCAGCTTCTCCTTCGTTTGATAACTGACTGCACAATGAGTCTCTATCTCCATTTAGTGAAGTCTCGGAATCACTCAAGGATTCCTCTAACAGAGAAAGGACATTTTCGGCAAGAGATTCATTCGAACCACCGTAAGTATCACAGTATTCTTGTTGTTCGATAACTTCCAGAGGAGGAAAAACTGGAGTATGAAGAAAGTCTTCCTAAATACAAAAAAACAATTACAATTTAAAATGTTAAATGCAATTTTTTAAACATTTACATGTATTGTATTTTTCATTATTATAGTTATGCATTACAATATTTATGTAATAATGACTTTTTTTATTTTAAAAACTATTAACATTACTTCAGCATTTTCTGCTCCTCCTTCTACAAGTAATCGTTCACATAACTCTGGTGTTTGCTCTACTAGTGGAGTAGATGTTGTGCTATCGGTCTGAAGCAAACACGATGACCAAGAAGAAGGTGATGACAGAGGAAAACTGAATGGATGGACAGAATCAATAGGACTACCTTCAACATCCACTGCTGTAAAAATTCAAATGTTATACAGAATACAAATTAAAAAAAAAAAAATTAATTATAAATCTTCAGTTGATTCATATATTAATTAAAAATAAAATCTTAACAAATATGTCTAACTTAAACTAGAGTCCTCTTTTCCCAGATATGTCTTCTTTTTGAACAAAATCTTTGTACAAGAAGGTTTTTATAGATATATAAGTAACAAACAATAAAAAAAAAAATTAAAAAGGTATGTACTTTTGTATTTTCTTGCTTTTTTCGTGGTACAATAAAACTTTTACCTAGAATGCTTCAATGCATTTCTGAGGCTATTATGACTTAAAAAGGGCTGCAAAGAAGAGGGACTATTGGTTGCAGCAACAAGAAATAGTCTTTAGTAATGGATAAAGACTGATTATCTATTCCAGTGGACTCATCTTAAAGCAAACACTGATAAAGAGAATTTTGCTGTTGCCCTGGCAAAATGCCACTGTCACAATGTTAATTTTAATGTGATAAAGCAAACAAAAACTTTAACAAAATTCATTAAACCATAAATTAACTCTAAAACCTCAAGAAATAACCCTACTTCCAGTTACGGTTGCTTTTTACAGTTTTTGATGTAAATGTTGAAAATTAGTACTGGAATAAATGTTCTATTTTGAGTAAAATAGATTTTTTCCTCTTACTAAACAAAGATGAGTTTGATCCTGATTGTAAAACAATTCAAATAATTTTAGTGAACCATTTTACTGTATAGGGGTTAAACTTTAACAATGCCCACTCTTTTAAACAAATGTGGGTCCATGCAAACGTGCTAGTTTGCATATTAACGAGTGCATACAATGATGCAAGGTTTGGCTACTTTGCACCAAATTTGGCTTGTTTTTACTCTTTCAAGCCTAAATTCCAGTTTCTGCTCTATTAAAATCGATAGAACATTAATAAACCTGTGTGTAATCTGGATACGATTTAATTCAAAGACAGTTAAATGTTATATTTAATCTGTTTAAGTGAAAATAGAGTTGCATGAATTGTTTAAAATAATTTTAATTAATTACAAATAATGTGCTAAATACGAAGATAAATTGTATTAAAAATTATAAGAAAATATGGTAAATAAAGCACATACTCATCATTTTATGTATCTCTTTTCCTTCACTCATACATAGTTGATCATTTAAAAATGCAGCACCAAGAAGATTAAGATCTTCTACGGAAGATTTTACTAAAATACCAAACACTTCGTTTGATCTCCAAGCCATTGGGATGCAATATTCTTCTACCTGGAAAGATTAAAATGCTCAGAAATTAAATTCTGTTAATTCAACTACATTAAAAGCATACATTTAGGTTACTATATTTAAAACATATTTACAATTGAATTAGTAAAAAATTCACTTAATTAAAATTTATGTAGTTATTGACAAATTTAATAAGTAACAGCTGCGCTTCTTTCGTAATTAACGTTAAAATACATAAATTTTGTTTCTAAAATATTTAAATCATAAAATTTCCGAAAAATTTATTTAAAGAACAGAACGAATGGTGATGACATTTCTTTTTTAGAATCGAAAATTAAATTACTATTCTGAAAGTGCTTACATGTTAATAAACTAAATTTTGTATGCATTATATATATATGCATTATTTATGCATCTATTATATACAGAGAGGTATATAGTTGTTATTATGGAAAAAATATAGAAGAAAAATATTTTTATGCATAAATTATATCACAAATAAAAAATACAAAACAATAAAAGGATATCAAAACATCTGTATTTTTCAGATTTACAATCGTAAACCTACTTTTGCATCATTCTGTGTAATTTCTACTTTATATAAAAACTTATAAAATGTAAAAATAATAATATACTCAATAATCCTGTAATTATACTCAGGTATAAAGTAATACAATAATCATAACCTATACAGAAGAATGATCATAACCTATAAAGAAGAATGGTAATGAATATTTAAATCATTTTTAATGTAATAACTATTGAATAATTAAATTACAATAGATTAGTATTAAAAATATTTAGATAAAAGAATATTAAGTTCCATAGCTTAGCATTTCCAAACTTCTTGGTAAAGTGGAGCCCTTAAACAAGGAAGAGTTTGTTTTTGCAGAGCCCTCACAACTCATCATTATCCTTTGTTAAAAATTTGTACAGTTGATATAGAAAGAGACACAAGATTCTAATGTTTTATCTTTTATGACAATTTCATTGAATGATTAAATTAAAATAGATATAAAAGTNACCAATCAATATAGTAACTGAGTAGACAAAAAAAGCATACGGTATATGAAACTCGGACAGTTACTGTATTAATCGATATAGAATGCATACTTCTCAGATAATAATTAACATAATTACAGTAATTTAAAATGGTAGCACTTATTTTGAAGACCCTGTATAAAGTATTGTACATGTATCTAACACATGAGATATGCTAAATGAAAATTATTTATGTATACATGTTTAGGTTTAAAAAAGTAGACTTAGGTGATGATGACTAATATTTAGAATGATATAACAAAACATATTTTAACTGTTATTAACTTACCTCATAACCTTTCTTTAGTACAATGCCTTCTATCAAAGAAATTGATACTAAATGTTGGAAAAATGAAATTGTTTGACCTAATTTTGATTTCAAAGGTATTGAAACATGTAGAGTAAATGTAGCACATCCATGTGGACTCAACCATTGGTTTTTTCCTCTCCCTAAAAAAAAAATAAAAAATAATTGAATTCTTTTATTACAGAATAACATTTGACATGTGAAATTATTAAAACAATTTAGCTTTAATTTTGGCAATTTTAATTATTTAATTCAAATATTTTGTTCCAACAAAAGAATTTCAGTTTTATATTGCTCTAAAGTATTGAATAGATGATTCTAAGCTGATGATGGATGGATAGTTAACCAAAAGCATTCCTGAAATAAACAATGATTTCACTTATTTATTGCTACAGCATTTAATTTTTAATTCAATATGTCACTAAAAAATTTTGAGTTTATATCCCTGCAATGACCAAACTTTGACTTGAGAGCCACATGTGACTCTTTTAGACCCTTACTGTAGCTCACGTATAGTTATACAACATTATATATGTGTAACCAGCAGTTTCAAGTTTGTAAAAAGAAATTGTATAATTATAGAAGTGACGTAATAAGGGTATGGAAGAGTCACATGTGGCTTACAAGCTGCAGTTTGGCTACTGTGGTCATATCCCATCTGTGGATCAAGCATTTATTATGTTGGATTCTTTAATTTCTTTGTTTGAGAAGATTTCATTCTTTATTTTTATATAGAACTAGCAGACCCGCCACGCGTTGTTTGGCTCAAAATGTATCTATTATAAATGTATAACACTTTCCTGGAGGAGGGGAATTTTTCGAAAAATCCCTTCTTAGTGTACATTCTCTTGACGTACCCTATTAAAACGCAATCAAAAACGCAAAAAACCAAATCTGAAATAGTATAAATAGAAGCAGAGTTCTTTACTGTAAGCCTTAATCCTGTCCATCTCCCCCCAGTGCGGGAAATTTCGACACGTATATTATATAAAAACATGTGCACATTCGAATGCCGCGTTGTGTCAAAATTTCAAAGGAATCAGTAGGAACAAACGAACATTACATTTTTATTTATATAAATAGATGGAAAATGATCTTCTTTAGTTCATTTTCACAGAAAAGCACAATGCCTCACAGAAAAGCAAACTTAGGGCGTTGTACTCGTAGCACCATCTGTTGGACATAAAAGCCTTAACCTAGATTATATATTTTAATTTATATGAATGTTTAACAGAATAATATACAGCCTATGTCCACCCTGAGGTTCCATTCTAAATATTGGTGAAAGAATTTTTGAAATCGGATGAGTAGTTTCGGAAATTACTTGCTGCAAACAAACTTACATACATACTTACAAACATTACCTCTTTATAATATTAGTATAGATTTACAATTTGATTTTCATTATTTTAAAATAAACAACAGTAAAATTGTAAATTCCAACCATCCAATTGCACAAGAAACTTTGAACCAAAGGTTCAAATATGCTTGTGCAATCAAGCTGTAGAATCCTGAAATCCTTACTAGTCTGGACATCCCTAACAGGTTCCTTAATTCTTGTAATTTAACATAACTTTTACAACAAACGTTTAGTTGGGTACAACTAATAAATGCTTATTGTGTAACAAAAAGATTTAAAATTATAAAACATCTATTTATACCTCTTCCTTCAGTTTGATTATTACTAATAGCAATGCAGCCTTCAAAATCATTCAACCTGTAAAAAATAAAACAAAATATATAAAATAACGTACATAAAAACAAAAACAAAGTGTATATTTCAGTATAAATTTCATAAAAATTATTAAATTCTAATTAAAGTTTGTGAAAAAAAATTAATGCTCACCCCTTCAGAATGGGCATAGTCGATGGAACAACATCAATAAATAACAGAATTCTGCCCAATATTTTCGTTTTTAAATTCGAATAAAAAGTTTCCACATCAAAAGGCACTTCAGCTGAAGAATTACATATCACAGGCAAAATATTTTTAGTTGTACAAAGTTCGCCTACAGAATTTTCATTGACGTTAAACTGTAGTTTCACATCACCAGATTTAAGCTCGTTGTTGACGAGTTTGGATTTCACAATGGACATAAAATCTTCAAAAAAAGACTAACAAAAAGAAAAATAATTTGATAAATAAATGATCGTTGTCATTGATATTATTAAAACTAACTTCAATACCTTAGTAATATTCTAAATTACATATATTACTGGCTATAATGCAGAAGTATCCTAATGTAAAACTGAATCCATATTTTGTGGTCCATATTATTGGTGCAAAATATAAATACAAAGCCTTTACAAGATACCAAGGCAAGAGCACTAACCACAGAGTAATTCTTTTAAGTCCCTGTAAGTGTGGCTCCACAAGAACGTATGACTTTTGCATTTAGGGGGCCATATCTGAAGCTGCAAAGTGGAAAGAAGCACAAGGAATTGGGCAAGGCTCCAAGTTAGTCTTGGTGAGGTCGAAAATCGGCCAGCTCATCATGCCACTGATTTGTGGGATTGTCAAGTCTGGCTTCCCGAGCCACCAAATTCCACACGAATTCTACTTTTGTCCGATCACCTCATACAAGAAGTGGAAGGACAATCGAATTTAATTAGCATGGTTACTATGTAATGTGTGGCTTGGTCCCTCTTACAAAGGAACTGTCAAAATATCTTTTAATAAATATTAATAAAATTTAGTTAATAATTACATTAAAAGTATACAAACTCTATATTACATTTGTAATATTCACTAAAAGTGTTAATTAGAGTTAATAGCAATCAAATGTTGTACTATTTTATATTAGTTTAATACAAATATGCAAATTTTTAGTAGTGAAAGGGTTGTGGAGGAAGACACAACCCTCTAAACTACTTTTAAACTGCAATTTTGACAGATAATCACACTTTGATTTGCTTATACCCTCTATGTTAAGCTGGCATATCCACATGGTGGTGCCAAGTACTCAGGAATGTGGCCCCGAGCTCCTAAAACAGCTGCCAGAAAAACTGTTTTTGAAAGTTTGTGGTGTCATGTGTGAGTAGCCAGGAGATCTTTTCAGATAGACTGGCTGCCAGAATACTGTTGCTCCTTTAGCACCACCCAGGGGTCACGTGTAGGGTACTTTATAGTTAAACCTGTGGACATGAGCAACACCGACCCCCATTACTCTTAAAAAATTGCCAGGACAAATTTAGATTTACAAAAAATATATTTCTTAGTAGACTATATATACTGGATGAGTCTATTTTATTCAGTCCTTTCACACGACTATGTTAACTTTTTTGCATTGGATGGCGGACCAGTAGCCTACAATAAAAGGTCGACTTTGCCATGAAATCGTTATTAATAACCCTCAACAGCGTGTGAAAGGAGCGAATAAAATAGACTCATCCAGAGCACTTATGTAGTTTAAGTTTGAAAGGTTTTCATCCATAAAATGAATTGATTCTAGACTAATTTGACTGAAACATTTGCAAAACACGTATAATTCATTGAAAATGGTCAAAATAAAATATGCTATAAACAAAAAATTTTCAGAATACTTACCGAGTGTGCACCGTCCGAAGACGCCATTGCTTAAGCTTGTTTTCGTCGCAGAGTGGCACATCGGACGGCAGACGTGTACAAAGCGCGTGATGTGACATTTGTCGGTGCTATTCGGTCACGTGACTACTCATCGCTGACGTGTTTCCT